TAGATGTTCATCGTGTAATTCTTCCATAAATCATTATAGAAAATTTTTTGTGTGTGATAATCGACAATGTCGAAAGTTGATTTCTATTTTTAGGAATACATTCTTTACGAGAAGTCATCTTCAATGTTCGGATGCAATGCTTATTGGATATTATTGGCTGTGTGGTGCAACATATACAGTGATTTTAAATGCAACGGGATGTGCTACTCGTACGATTTCAAATTATATGAAGTATTTTCGTGAATTGGTGATTGAGACACTCGATGAGGATGATTTGATGATTGGTGGGAATGGAATTATTGTGGAAATAGATGAGTCAAAATTTTGTAGAGGGAAGGAAACCGATGGGATTTGGATTGTTGGTGGTATAGAGCGAATGGAGAAACGAAAATGTTTTTTCGTGATAGTTGATCAGAGGGATGCGGGGACGATTAGAGATATTGTATCAAAACATGTTAAACCCGGTTCAATTGTTGCAACTGATTGCTGGCAGGGATATTAAAATCTCGAAGATTTTGATGTAATACACGAGACAGTAAATCAATCGATATTATTTGTAAACTTAAATGGGACACATACAAATATGATTGAGGGAACTTGGCGAGGGTTGAAAATACGAATTCAATCTTGACATCGAGATACCGAATCAATCGAAAAATATTTATTAGAATTTATTTGACGGCGAAAGCATGAAAAAGACTTATGGCAAGGACTTCTCGATGCCCTTCGTACAGTCAGATATATATGATATACTGATAATATGTATCTTTATTAATATTAAATAAATCAAATATATATTCTCGAGTAATTATCTCAAATAAAGATTTTTAAAATGTATGCCGAAACCTTAAAAATAAATAATACCAATGAAATCATACAAAGAATATTGATCAAATATTCCCTTTGCTTATTTATATTATTTATTTCATTTCCTTTTTCTTTCATTTCTTTAGTCAAATTTTTAACAAATTTTAAAAAAAATTCCCATTCCTTTTCATGTTCAATTCTTTTCTTCTCATGTTCAATCTTTTCTTTATCAATTATATCTTTGAAAATTTGAATAATTTTTAGATAGGTAATCTTATCTTTATCTCCAACCATTATATTTGTAATTCGCTGTTCGGATATAAAATTCATACTACGAATAAGTATATTCAATAATATTAATAAACAAAATATATACTTTAATTTTTAAAGATCAAATGTTAAATAAAACGAACAATTGGAATGCCTTAAAACTGGTGTTTATATAAGATTTGGGTAAATACTACCAAATTCAATCCATTAAATCTTACAAATATTGTTCAAAATAAAATTTTTTATTAATTTTAACCTAAATTTATATGGGATTTGGTGGCATTCGCCTAAATCCAGGTCACTTTTTTTGAAAATGGCGTGACATGGTTCGCCATTTTCCAGTATTACCTGTCAAGATAATGATTTTGTGATTACTGTGAAATTTTGATTCAATGTTTATTATTTGTAATTTGCTGGATTGGATAGCAATATCATTTGTATCCAAATTTGATTAATACAACTTTGGTCTATAGATTCTGAAAATATATATATGGTTTTGTAAAGGAAGAAGAGATATAATATGTCAATATAGTTTCTGTTTAGTTTTTTATAGATAAGTAATTTGTGTTTTGATTTAGATTTTTGGATTCTATCTATATATGTGGTGGAATTGAATTCAACTATTTTTCAAAAACCGTATTATGGTAGAATTACTAAGTAACATATAATAAATAATTGGAATTCGTATTTAATTCAGAATCGTATTATCGATCAAATTTTCTTTTATGGTAATACGACCACATGTATGGTTCTATCTATTGGATTAGGTGTAAAGTTAAAGTTATTTATAATAATATGTAAATATTTTTTAAAGAGTTGTTATTAATAAATATTTGGAGATATAAAGTGATTTTTTTCCTTGTATTTGTATCATATAGAAGGTAAACTTGTATAATGCATATTTTAATTTTGGGTTTGAAAAAAGATTGAAATAATATAGTCTTGAAGTTCGAAGGTTTTATAGAAATAATTTGAGAGATTTTTGTTAAGTATTATTGAGATACCTGCTTGACTTTGGTCTAGATCATACATATGGTCGTATTACCATAAAAGGAAATTTGATCAACAATACAATTCTGAATTAAATACGAATTTCAATTATTTACTATATGTTACTTAGTAATTCTACCATAATACGGTTTTTGAAAAATGGTAGAATTCAATTCTATCACATATATAGTCTAGATTACTTAAGTATATAATAAAGTTTTCAATGATATAAAGAATTTTTTGATGGCTTGGAGTTTTGTTTCTGAGATACCAAAGATATTATAGTTGTTGTTTTTGATATATTGTATAAGGCAGTTCAGTTTGTATAGTCATTAAATTCTCTTATATTAAGAGATCCTATTTCTAGAGATTGTTATTGTTTTTTAATATTGCTAGTAGGTTTGTAGTATATGATTTTGGAAAGGTTTTTTTTAATTGAAAAGTTTTTTAGAAGATCATTTGTGCTAGTTATTATTTGAAGAAGTTAAAGAATTTTATTAATGGTTCACGAAGTTCTATTTGGATAATATATTTGTTGGTAAGTCTTTGGAAGGCAAGGTATTTTCTGAGTTTACAAATTTTTATAATAAAGTTAGCATCATTAACTATAGGAATGTTCATTTCGATTTTGTTTTAAATTAAATATTTTTTTAGTTCAGGAGGGCTTGGAATTTGAGATTTTTATTAAATTTGAATCCAATTATCTGGGACTTTGAAGAATTGAAAATATTGATATGTTTTAATTATATTTTCTTTAAGAAGTTTTCTATTAGTTATTGGAAAATTGATATTGGCTTTTTTATTAACAATATTATAGTTATTTGAAAGAGGTGGTTTGGTTGATGTAATTTGAGAATTTGTATTCATATTTATATTTGTAATATTAATCCATTTCTTTAATAAGAATATTTGAAGGATATATTTTTTTGAAAGGCTATTAAGAAGATTTGGGATATTGGCAGGATTTGTTACTGGCAGAAGGATATTTATTTTTAGATCAAGAATTTTGTCAAGTAATAGGAGAAGTCTTTTTCTAATAAAGAAAAAATTGTTTGGTAGTAATTTGAAGTAATAGGTTTTGCAAAAAAGTGTGGTAAGTTCTTGTATAGTTATTGTGCTATCTTTGAAATTAAAGAGAAAAAAGTTTCAGTATTTAGGTTTCAAGAGGTGATAGATTATTAGAAGTGGTTTTTTGATGGTAATAATTCAAAATAAGAGCTGGAAAGTTTGAAAGGGACTTGATAGTCTTCGCGAAGATAGCTTTTTAAGTTTGAGAGCCTGTTTAATTCACTAATTGAAAATATTTTTCTATATTTTGATAAAAGGTCATAAGGATTTTCTGGTAATGAAGAATTGATTTTGAAAAAGTTGTCTGGAAGTTTTTGGAATTTATAGTAAGATCTGAGTATATATAAGGTTGAAATAAGTTGTGATTTGTTTTAAATTGATAGATTGTATAGAAGTTTAATTTTAATATTGGATGGGATTTCGTTTGAAAAGGATATAAGTAGGGTTCCGATCGGTATCGGTAAATATCATTACCGATTTATCGGTTTTGGTATCGGTATTAATTTTTAAGGTTAAATACCGAACCAAAATTTTCGATAAAATACCGATTGGTTTCAGTACTTTTTAAAAGTACCGATCAGTAAAGTATCGGTTGATAAAATATCGATTAGTTTCGGTATTTTCTAAAAGTAACAATAAATATTAAGTAAAGATTTT